AGTGCAACCTACAAAATAAGAATACATATTATTTGCTGCCGTATAATTACATGTAATTACGTATAATTTCAGCTTGCATTTATATCAGCTGCTTTCTTCTTTTCCTTTTCATTTTACAAATATCGCCCTAATTTCTCGCAGCAGCTCCATTCGCTTTAACACTTCCCTCTACTCTCCTTCTTTCTTTTTCGTCTAATTTCGCTTGAGCAGTCACGTCGCCTCTGTTTCTCCTTCTTTACTAGAAATGTTGCTTTGTTTGATCATTGTGACTACGCTGCAAAGGTAACTGTGCTGAAATGATTGTGATGTTTATATAGCGCCATTGCTAAGAAGGGTTTCCACCCTTCCAAGAAGAGGGTTGCAACAGAGACACACTTTGGATCCCGAATTGTCCTCGTTAAGCGAACACGATCCTAATCGACTTTTCGTGGAGTGTAAGTGGGATATTACGAACACTAGTTTCATTCTTATTTTTTCATTTTTTCCTTTTTTCTTTTTAATTATAAGTATGACGCTCGGGCATTGAAGGATTGAATAGTTTCATACATCTCTCATAGTACACTTTTACGAAGTAACGAAGATGATCGTTTTTCTGTTGATTCTCACGGTAACGTTTGTAATGTACAGACTTTTAAACGTATTCATTTTATAGTTTAACCATAAGTATCGTTCCTCTTTTCTCGTCCCCCTTAGTGTGCCCCCTGAATTATTTAGAGTACAGATTTGCCGATCGTTGGATATTTACTGGAAATTGAATGAGTACTGAAGTTGAGTTACGAAAAGCATGCTGTAGTTGAAAATTTATTGTTGAACGTAGAAAAGTAGGAATATTTGACAACGAAGTCGTTGAAGTATTTAAGAATTTATTTTTAGTTCGTTTTCTCCACATTTGAACCGTTGAAAACAAGTAGAATTGAAATTGCAAATATTTTCTAGGAAATACACAAGTGTTTTGTCTGAGTAATTCCAAAAAATTGCAGCTGTAAACAGTTTTTACATTTGCTTTTAGCATGAAGAGAATGTGTAAGGAGTAAATGTTCGATTGGTGGATAAACGTGGAAATTAATCTGCATTTGTTTATCGGATTTCGTACACGATCATTTATATGAATAACTGTTCCATCGACGTCCAAATTTCTCGTCCAATATTTACGACTATATTCACCACTTGCAGGATTTCGAATTACTTCCCGTCCGCTGAACACGAATTTCCACCACGACAATTTATTACGTTTCCAGGAATCTTTTTCAGGAACCAACTAGAGCGTTCCATCGTCAAAAAACTGCCCTACAAACCCTGCGTTTCACTTATTTCCCCTCGAATCGAAAACAGCTTCCTCCCCAGATAGACGAGCAGCGAACACCACGATATTTCAGAACTATCAAAAAATTCCCGGTTCGAGAAAACAACGTGTCGACCCAGTTTCCCGTGATCCAAATCTATGTTCACGTGAAAAGCCAAAAATGTCAAAATCCTTTAAGGGGTCATTCTAGTAAAAAGGGTTACAGAAATCGATTTTTTTTTTTGCATTTCTGGAAAGTAGGAACCTTGGAGAATTTACTGTTAAATTTTTGCAGCAAAATTCGAAGTATTTTGGATTTTAGAGCGATTTTTAGTTAGGGACACTATTTGTGTCTTTTAGGCTATCCCTTCACGAGACACTTTTTGGCCTAAAGTAATTTAGTAGTATAATTGGTTTTAATACTGTGCAGTGATGTGTCGCAAGTGAATAAATATATGCTGGTATTTGGTATATAAAAATTTAATACTCGAATTTCAATCGTGTTATTTTTTAAACGTCCTTTTTTCAACTGGCGGAAGGAAAATGAAGAGAACTAATTAGCCGATAGGTTTGAAATTTTGATACGGTATTTTACATACCATTGGCAACTTGCAGATACCATATTTACTTTTCTACGTTGAAAATTTCGCATTTTTTACGTTGCGAAACTTAAAGAAAAATGGAAAATTTGGGTATTTAAACTTTGGATGCACGCCATTTTGTTAAATTTTGACTTACGTGGCTAATTCTGGTATCTACTCTAGCTCTACTCATACTGATCAACAGTCTTTTCGACTTTTTTATTTTGGATGAGTCTGTGAACCAAAATCAATTCCGCCAGCGAGGTGTCTTCTGTTAAAAACGTTATTTTTATCTCCAAATGTAGCATTAAACAAACAATTAAATAGCTATTTAAAAAATTGTTTTGCAAGCTTCAAAAGCGCCTCGATAACTAAAAAAAGGTTTAACATTGCTACTCATTGTATACCCTCCAATAAAAAATCCTGAATATTCCCGAAATTTTCTTCGTTACTGCCAGAATGACCCTTAACTATAATACGTAATCCCCTCAGTTTCCATTCCACACGCCTAATTTTATCTGCTCTCTTCGAACGCTTCCGCTCGAACGAAACAAGAAAAAGAATCTTCTAAACGAGTCTCTAAAAAGAGGAAGAGAGAGAGAGAGAGAGGAAAAGGGAATAAAGACAGGCCCAGGTTCTCCGTGTTTTTCCCTCTGTTTTCATGGTCCACACGCCGCGTGGAAACAGTTTTTCGGCTGTTTACGCGAGAAGATCGCGCGTTTGGAAGCTGGCCAGCGATATTTTTACGCTTCCAGCCCTCGATTGGCGGAAACTGGCGCAACGGAACCGCAATACGGAGCGAGCGCCGTGTCGTTGCAGGAAGTACTAAGAAGCGGAGCAAGTCTCTTCTGGAATCCGGATTTTCCACGCAAGGGCGAAAAGAATTTTCCTTGGCTTGTGTGTGTGTGGCTGTTCGTATTCCAGCGAGAACGTTCAGCTGACCCATTTTTCAACTCGTTTCGAATCGCATTTACCATCGTTGATGTCCGACAACCTTGCTCTCCTAACATTTTTCCGCTATATCCAACGAATGGTTTTTCCACGGACTTCTTTTTGGCTTGGACGGTGCAACAAGCTTATCGCTGGCCTGATTTCTCTCAGCTTCGAATAATCTATCTCGGGGATGGTGGGTGTATATGCAAGTTCTATGTTGACGCGCAACCCTGTGAATATTAAACCTCCGTGGGCAATCTGGGTCACTAATGACCCGAGCGAAATTCCACTCTTGTATATCTTCCAAGTGAACCTTCAATTTTATTGGAAGAAGATCGAAACATGTTTGAGTTAAGGAAAAATTGTGTAATGTAGTAGAGACTTCGATAAGTGTCCCAGAATTTTTTCAGAGTTTTTGGAATGCTTCATGAACTGTGAAAAAATATATTTGGAGGGTCTTGTAAGCGAAATTTCACTCTTGTGTTTCTTCCCAGTGAACTTCCATTTTTATTCGAAGAAGTTCTAATTTGGCATAACGAAAAATTCTGTAATGTAGTAGAGACTTTGATAAGTGCCCCAGAATTTTTTCAGAGTTTTTCGAATCCTTTATGGACTATGAAAAAATATTTTTGCCTACGGAGGATTAATAGGTCATCTTGCAAGCGTGATTCCGCCCCACAGAGGGTTCATGTTAATTTCTCATAGCGAATTAGCAACTTATTAGAGACGGCAATAATATAAACGGTAATGTTGGGATATACCTGTGTAATTTGTTTCGTTTTTAATGATGCACAGTGTGTTCGTATTGTGCATTGAAATATGACCGATATCTCGAAGTGGTGATCACCGATTTTGTTGAAACTCTGGTATATGATAGTTCTCGAAAAAATATTCGACACGTATTTTTTTATATCGACAATCGTCCACAGTGAAAGGGTGAAAATCGCCCTGAAAGTTGGAGGTAGTAAATATATTTACATAGTCTAATATCTGGAAAGTCATTAGTGATAGAGTAACTTTGAATATTTCAGCAACAAATTTGCAAAACAAAATATAAAAAAAAAACATACGTGTCCAATATTTTTTTTAATACTACCAAAGTTTCATTAAAATCGATAATTATCACTTTGGGATTTTCCCTTGTCAGTCAGAAAAGTTTTCGTACACCTTGTTAAAATTTATTTAGCGTTTTTAGCAAATGAATGTAAATTATTTTTCCTCTGCATTAAAAGTAAATATCACGTTTCTAATTATTCATTTACTTATTTCTCTGTTGAAATTGCGCAACGCGAAATAAATTCTAACGAGGTGGAAGATTTTTTTAATTAAATGCATGTATTATAATTCGCGGTGATATCACATTTCGATAGGAACAATTTAGAGGAATAAGAGAGGCGGATATCAACGCTGAAATCGAGTGTCGCAATGAGCCAAAAGTGTTTTCATATCCCCTTTTTTAAAGGGTAATTAACTGTTCCTAGAGAAAACCAGGTTTATCGCGGTGAAACGTAACGAGTATGAAATTGGCAAACTAGAATCGTAATACTTGCAATTAAAAACGCCACAATAAAAGTACTATGAAAAAATCCTTATTCACGTACGGTGAAATTTAAACCATCTCGCATGTGCAGAAGTAATTTTTCTTATTTATGTAACAAGAGCAACTTTAATTGCGAAATTGCCATTTATGCTCTTATGCAGTAAACACTTTCTATTTGTTAATATCTAAATCCAGACGTGCCTGAGAAATATTACAAAATTACGAATATTCCATAAATTTTCAATGTTAAAATTAAGCATTTTTGAAACATTTCTATAACACACAATTAATTCTTCCTGTTTACGTAGACAATAGATGCAACTTTAATTAAGAAACTGCCATTTATGTTCTTATTTGTTAATATAATATTTAATATTACAAAAATTGTGCAAATATTTCGTACATATTTTCAGCGTCTCGCATAAATTTTAAATATTAAATTTAGCGGGTTTTAAACATTTTCACGACACAGTAAAAAAAAGCCGGCTTTAAGTAAAATGTCTTTGGGAAACTACGTCGCTGCGAGTTTATCGCTGACCCATTTTTCTATCTTCCAGTATGCGTATGCGTGATGGCACTAGTAAAAATTATTTATATCGGTAGCCGTTACCATTTCGAGTGGAGTTCGCCGCGTTTGTCGGTGTTATCTTCCTAGCCTTTTTAGCATTCCTACTCCATTCCAATTGTTCGTTTAGATAATCGCCACAATTTCATTCAGTCTGCACGATTTCACTGTTCTAGTAAATTTCATTCAGCCTTCACGATTGTTCGTTACGCGAAGCGTCTTCTTTCGGTATTTCCGGTGGAAATGTTTCGTTTGGAGTTAATTGCGAATTAATGAAATTGCTGAGAATATTTTTGATGAAATTTTTGTATGTCGTAGATCTCGGAAGAATATTTGACGCGTATCTTTTTTCATTGGCAATCGTCCACATTGGAGATAGAGATAATAAACATACTTGGCTTGATACCCTCGAGAATTATTAGAGATCGTGGAATTGTGTAAATTGACGAATTTCGTATTTATTTAAACTAACTTTTCGTTCATTTTACCTCGAAAATGTTGATCAATATTCGTGTAAATTTTTGTGTATAAAT